AAAAAAAAAAAAAAAAAAAAAAAAAAAAAAAAAAGAGTTTGATCCAGAGTACTAATCTCCCCAAACAATAAATAAATTAATTAAAATAAAGCTCCAAAGAGTATAGGAGAAGAATGAGCCTTGCCTCTCTGTGACCTCAGATTTTAATCTTTCATCCATATAGCAGATGCTGCCTAAACCTCTGGATGCAGCTTTGGGCTTCTGAGTTTGAGCACTGCCTGGTGCTTTGTAAGAATAGGTTGGGAAGGCCAGGGATTTAGCTCAGTGGTTCCACTGGCTGCTTCACAAATGCAAGGTCCTAAAAAAAAAAAAAAAAAAAAAAAAAAAAAAAAAAAAGAACAGGCTGGGAGCCAGAGGACGCATCTGCTGCCTTCATTGAAGTTTTCCCTTTTTCCAGCTGTAGACCCAACCTTGAGCATGCAGTCCTGCCATTAGAGGTAGTACTTTCCTCGGCAGCATGATAAACCCTTTGCCTGGTATGATGGAGATGAAAACATAAATCGCCAGAAAAGTAAATGGTTCTATTTTCATGAGGAATTTAATTGTAATCCTGTTTCCATCACAGTAATTTTCATGAATCCTAAAAAGCTGTTTCCAGCCTACATCCTGGAAAGACCCACCTGGGTGTGGTGGTCCCAGCTGATCCCTGCATTCTGGGAGGCTGAGGCAGGAGGATTGGGAATTTGAGCCCAGCCTGGGCAACTTAGTGATCCTGTATCCAAACAAAAAATAACATTAAAAAAAAAAAAAAAAAAAGACCTGGGGATGTAGCTGTGTGAAGGTCCTGGGTTCAATCCCAGCGCCGCATCCACCCGCTGTGTGCCAGGAAACCCGGTGTCTTCTGGTTTCTGCTGGGCAGGTTCCACCTCTATCACATTAGATGAAGGATCAGTGGTGCACTATACAACAGCACTTTAAGAATACAGTCTTGGAGCCGGGGATTTAGCTCAGTGGCACCATGCCTGCCTGACAAGCGCAGGGTCCAGTTTGATCCCCAGTACCACAAAAAGGAAAGGAAAAGAATACAAGGTCTTGCTATGCGGCCCAGTCTGGTCTTGAATCCAGGAGCTCATGTAATTCTCCTGTTTCAGCTTCCCATGTAGCTGGTACTGTGCCCAGCTATACATTTTTTTAGTTTTGTAGTACCGGGGATGGAACTCGGGCCCTGGTGCTCACAAGGCAGGCAGGGGCACCACTGAGCCAAATCCCCCACCCTGCCCACCTCTACATTTGAATGGACTTTTTCCCTTTGTCTTCCTCTTTTGTGATAGAACCAACATGTCCTTTTAGACTTACTTGGAGTTAGTTTTAATGAAATGTCTTCTGCTTTTAGTAGAGCTGCTAATCTCTCATTTTAAAAATCAAGGGATTTCTACAGTCTTTAATTTGGGGGTGGGGTTGAGATACAGTCTCATTACAGGCCCAGGCTGGCCTCAAACTTACAAGGATCCTCCTGCCTCAGCCTCCCCAATGCTGGGATTATAGGTGTGTGCTACCACACCTGGCAACATCCATTAAAATAAAAGACCTTTATAAAAACAAACAAACAGTTCATTTGAGCAACTCTGACAAAAAGTAAAAAAAAAAACCCAAATGTGATTTTTATTTTCTGCTGACTTTTATCAAATGTTTCACAGGTCAGCAGGCGTGTGGGTCCCGGCCGAGGGTCCTAGGACACAGCCGCTGCGGTGTTTCGTTGCAGGGGCGCCAGCGTCACGCCCAGGTTCCTGTCCTCGCTCTCGGCGCTGTAGAGCCCGTGCTTCTCGATATAGTCCCGCACCAGGTCCGGCACCAGGTAGCGGATGCTCTGGCCACGGCGCAGCGCCCTGCGGATCTTGGTGGAGGAGATGTCATTGGAGATCCACTCGGTCACCAGGTGGATGTTGCCCCGGTGTCTCCACAGCATGTCCGACTCGTAGATGAACTTCTGGGCGTCACTGCCGGCCCGCGTGACACAGATGAGCCCGTAGTCTGCCACGATGTGCGCGATGTCCTCGTGCTTCCACAGGTTCGGGACCCCGAAGGACTCCAGCAGGTCCGCCCCGCACAGCAGTTTCACCTTGGGCGTACCTGGGCGGAAGCCAACAGCTAAGCCCCGGCTTCTCCAGCACTGAATGCCCAGGTGGACCGGGAGTGATGGCGCACGGCTGTCATCCCAGCACTCAGGAGGCTGAGGCAGGAGGACTGCCAGGCAGTTAAGGCCACCAGGGCTACACAGTGAGTTCAAGGGCAGCCCGGACCTTGCCTCAAAACACACACACAAGGCCCAGGGATTTAGCTCAGCGGTTCGGTGGCCTGCCCTGCAAGCACAAGGACCCGAGTTCAATCCCTGGTTCCAAAAAAAAAAAAAAAAAAAAAAAAAACACACACACAAAACAATAGTGTGGGTGTTATTCAGGAAAGAGGGTTCTGCTTTTTTCAGATTCGGTTTCCCAAAAAAAGATCCAGGACACCTCAAAAGTTAAAGACCACTGCAAGAGAGGTCTGCACAAGATGCCTTTACACTCCCTGCCCGCTTCTGTAAAACCAACAAGGGCTATCTGTGCATAAAACATGAACTCGGAAAATACCAAGGGGAGCTGCTCAGTTCTAGAACCCAAGCAGGTCTCCTCTGCGAGTGTGGACAGGGAAAAAACGAACCTTTTGGGTTTGGCTCCGGGGGTTTCTTTTGAGTGGAATTTTGTCTTTGTTCAGTCCACTTCCTCTTCCGGCCGGGCCTTTCCGGCACAGGGGAGTTCTGCGGCTGATTACAGCTGCCAGCCTCCAGCTTCTCTTGATGGTGTCTAGGAAACCAAATGACAAAACAAGTCGGGTGTGGTGGTGCGTGCCTGAGACCCCAGCATTGCAGGAGGCTGAGGCAGGACTGGCCTTAACCTCTCCCGCCTCAGCCCGCTGAGTGCTGGGATTACAGGCAAGCACCACCACATCTGGCTTTAATTTTTCTTTCTTTGTTTTAGGTACTGGGCATCGTACTCGGGACCTTGCGCTTGCAAGGCAGGCCGCCAAAGCACTGAGTTAAATCCCTGGTCCCTGGCTTTAATTTTTCTTATTTGAGGCACGGACTTAATAATTGATCCAGGCTGGCCTGGCAGTTGCCATCCTCCTGCCCAAACTGGGAGCACAGAGGTCCAGCGCCCCCTACTGGCGGTCAGGGATGCAGTACGCAAAGTGGTGGGGGTGGGGGGCACACACCAGGCCCTGCGGCCCCTGTGCAGCCCGGGCAGAGAGGGAACTACCTCAGCACCTTCACGGTCTCCACCCACTCCTTCTGCAGGCTCTCCCACGTGTCCACCTCCACCCAGCCGGAGGTCTTGGTTGCCAGCTCCGCCATGACGACTCGGTGGTGTGCGGGAATGAGCCCCTTCTTCTTATACGCATCGCCCACAGGAGAAATGATGCCTTTTACCACTCTGTACTCTCCTGCAAAAAGACTCAGGTTTGACATGAGGTCTAACAAGTCAGGTTTCACTGCTGGAAGTGGTGGTGCACATCTGCAATCCCAGCACTCAGCAGGCTGAGGCAGGAGGATCCCCAGGTGTTTGAGGCCAGCTGGGGCTACATAGTAAGTTCAAGGCCAGCCTGAACTATGCAGTAAAACCCTGTCTCAAAACAATCCAAAAAAGAAACAAAAGTAAATGAGTCTTTATACTCCGGAAATATTATGATCAACGTTGTTGTATAATCTCAGATTCCTCCTTTTGCTTTTTTTTAGTTTTTTCTTATTTTTTTGAGACAAGGTCTCGCTATATAAATCAGAGTGGACCTGAATTCACTGTGATCCTCCTGCCTCTGCTTCTTGAGAGCTGGGATTACGGGTATGTACCACCATGTCTAGTTTATATTTTAATTTTTGTTTGTTTTTTTGGTGCCGGGGATCGAACTCGTGTCCTTGCGCTTGTGAGGCAGGCCACCGAACCACTGAGCTAAATCCCCGGCCCTATATTTTAATTTTATTAGTACATGTTTGCAGTACAAAATGATTACATCATAGGGCAAGAGATGCAAGCTCAACACAATGACCTGGGTTCAGTCCCCAGCACTGGAAAAAACAAAACAAAACAAAACAAAAACAATTGGGCTGGGGATTTAGCTCAATGGTTCCACCACCTGCCTTGCAAGCTCAAGGTCCTGAGTTTGATCTTGAGTACCAAAAAAACAAAATGAAACAAAGCAAAAAATATATTCTAGGATATTATTCTATTCCCACATGTGGTGGCACACACCTGTAATCTTAGCACTTGGGAGGCTGAGGCAGGAGGATTGCCACAAATTCAAGGCCAGCTTGGACTACACAGTGAGTTCAAGGCCAGAATGAACTACATAGTAAGACCCTATTACAAAAAAAAAAAATCAGCGGGGTGTGTTGGCATACACTTGTAATCCCAGTACTCAGGAGGCTGAGGCATGAGGATCTCTGTGAGTTCCAGGCTGGGCTACATAGTGAGTTCCAGGTCAGAATCAACTACATAGTGAGACCCTGTCTCCAAAAAAAAAATAAATAAATAAATAAATAAACAAAAGATTACAATCATCATGGAGAGTCGATAAGCCCACAGTATACATCATAATTTTTTATTCCCCCTCCCATCTCGGGATCCCTTCCCTATCTCCCTGCGCTATACTATCTGTGGAGGAAGACCACTGACCAGGGTGGGTGCTAAGCTGGCAGGAGGAAAGAGCAGGAAACCAGTGCTGTCAGAGGCTCGAGGAGCGCCCCCAGCCTTGAGGCTCCATCCACACTTCTTCTGGCTACTTCCCCCTCTGGCCTCACTGCACCAAGGTGACCGAGGAAGGGAAACAGCACTTATTAACCTGTACAGATGGAAACCTGGTCTCTACGTGATCCAGGCTGAACTGTTATCCCATAAAAGCAATGAAGGCAAGGCTCATCGTTTCCTTGTGTCATAAGGGAAAAGAAATCTTGAGTGTCCTTTGTTCGTGTTTTTTTGAGACAGAGTCTTGCTGTATACCCCAGGGTAGCCTCAAACTCCTGCCTCAGCTTCCCAAGTGCTGAGACTACAGGTGTGCGCTACCACACCTGGCAAAGTTCTGAAACGTGGGAAAGCATTACTGTTCCTTCTGTGAGGTTGTCAAGATCCCAATCTGTATTTCTGATTAGCAGACCCACAGCCGATGCCCTGATTGTCCCCGGACATGACCTGCCCTCCTTTTGGGCTAAGTCACCGTGCACATGGGTCCATGCCCAGCAGACTAGAGGTCCACATCCACAATGCAGCAGACCCGCCAGGCCTCGGCTACTCCTGGCAGCCACCTTACCTGTTCCATCCATGTAGTCCTTGGCAAGCTCGAACAGCCTGAGGTGCATGTTGGTGATGGGGTTAAAGGAGCCACATGACAGGAGAACCACTTCCGTCCTGTCCGCTTTGTCCATGGTGAGAACAGGAAGTCACTGATCTAAAAGGAAAACTCTGATGCCTCCTCCGTCATCTACACAGGACACAGAATGCAAATTTGTTACAGATTGTTCGAGACCGTCTCTATTCTCATTGCAACAAGATAGAAACGGCAGGGGATTTAGCTCAGTAGTGCCATGCCTGCCTCCCAAGCACAAGGTGAAAGCACTTGATCCCTGGCCCGGGACCACACACCCAAAAAAACCAAGATGGGTACAAATATCGGGCTACAGAAATGCCTCCTCATCATTGTGAATGTCCCCCAAAGGGATGAGACCTACTGCTCTATTCTTTGTGGTTTGCTTTGCCAAAAAGAATGTGATAGAAGTAGCTGGGGGGGTGGTGCACACCACACCTGTAATCCCAGCATTTAGGAGGCTGAGGCAGGACGATCTCAAAGAGTTCAAAGTCAGTATCTGGGTGGACTCCTCTTTAGAGAAATCTGCACTTTTAAGAACTAACCACCTTGCTGGGTGTGGTGGTGCAGGCTTGTAATCCCAGCACTCGGGAGGCTGAAAAAGGGAGGATGGAGGTGAGTTCCAGTTCAAGGCCAGCCTGGGCTACATAGTTCAGGGCCAGCCTGAACTACAAGGCCAGACCCTGTCTCAAAAACAAACAAACAAACAAAACCAAATGACCAGTGACCTAATTTCCTTCTATTGGGCACCATCTTTTTTTTTTTTCTTTTGTTCTTTGAGATAGGATCTTCCTATGTCACTCAGGCTGGCCTTGACCTCTTGGGATGCTCCTGCCTCAGCCTCACAAGGGCTGGGATCACAGGTGTGCACCACCATACCAGCATCAGGACCTACCTCTTCCATGTCCCACCAGCTCCATACAGCTACACCAGAGACCATACCTACAGCCCACTGAAGCCACACCTAAACCACAGCAGGGCTTTGTACCCTTCTCCCTCTGAACTTCAGCCTCTGCCACAGAAAGCAGCCCCCGCCAGCCTGCAGAAGACACAGCAGGTGGGGGCCTGGCTCCAACCCATGGACAGTCACACTCACTGTGTGACTGCTGCTGGCCTACTGGTGGTGCACACCTATTATCCCAGCACTCAGGAGGCTGAGGCAGGAGGATTGCCTTGCTACACAGTAGTTCAAGGCCAAACTGAACTATGAAGAAAGACCCTGTCTCATAAAACCAAACCAAACCAAAAAATATTTAGGGCATAGGGGTATAGCTCTCATACAGGATTTGTCAACAAATGCAAGGCCTTCAGCTGCATCTCTATTGCCATAAATTAATTATCTTAATAGATATATGAGGGGACTCAGAGATATAGCTTGTGGAGTGCTTACCTAACACCCATGAAGTCCTCAATTTGATCCTCAGCAAAAAACAAAACAAAACAAAACAAAATAATACAATTTTTGTCAGGAACAATTCTACATAATTTGGGGGAAAAGTCATTTCACAATTAAATTATGATTAGGCCTAGTTTTCCTGCCTACAGGAGAGCTTGGCATGTCGAGATGTAACTCCAATTTTGAGTCTGGTAAAGCTAAGACCTCAAAGGTCCAGAATTACATCAGCTGAAGACATCCTGGATCCTTGAGAACCGAGCAGTAAGAGAAAGGTTTCACCTGGGGAGGACAAATGTGTAATCAACATAAGTTTCTCGTTGACCTCAGATCTCCATCTGTGCAAGTTCCTCAGCGCCCCAGGCTTATTGGCGCCCTCTCAGTCATCTGTTACTCCTGATGCACCAAATAAAGCCTGGCAAGCTCTGAGTGCCTTTGTCTCTGCTGCCCAGAGCAGCACAGATCAGGCCCAAAGCTCAGCTTCTTCTGTAAGTCTCATTTCCTGTCTTTATTTATTAATTCACCTTGTGCTGTTGTGGCTCACAGAAGACCAGGGGTTCAGATAACATCCCCTTTCCCTGTTCCTTACAAATTTTTACTAAAATAATTCCTGGATATAGGTTTTGAAATCATAGGATAAAAAAGGCATGGAATGAAAACAACTATCTATTATCCTCTTCAGACACCTGGGCAAAGGTGACTGCTTTTAATTCTTTCTAATAGGTTCTGTATTTTGAGCTGGTAATGCTATTTCTTTTCTTTTCTTTTTTGAGACAGAGTCTCATTATGTAGTTCAGGCTTGTCTCATTAAGTAGCCCAAGCTGGCCTCAAACTTGCATCAATCTGATCCTCCTACCTCCTGAGTGCTGCGATTATAGGTGTGCACCACCATGCCCAGCTCCCAGCTATTTCTTTTTATTGGTTTTTTTGAGACAGGGTCTCACTATGTAGTTCAGACTGCTCTGGAACTCACTGTGTAGCCCAGGCTGGTCTCCAATTCTCAGCAACCCTCCTGCCTTAGCCTCCGGAGTGCTGGGATTACAGGCATGCGCCACCACACGTAGCCCCCCAGCTATTTCTTAAATGATCTGAATGAATGACCTAGTGACATTCTGGTGAGATGGGCAAGGGTCCAGGCTCATGGCCCTCATCCCTCTCCCGTACCCTCTGGATCAGTCAGGTTCTGCAGAGGAACAGCAGCAGCAGAATACACAGCAGCGGGGTTTACCAGCTTGGCTCAGGAAGCTGCAGTCTGAAAATCCCACTGGGGCTGAGTGCCCGAGGACAGCCAGGCAGATGGGAAATTCCCTCACTCCAAGAAGGTAGAAGCCTCAGAATGAAAGAAGCAGGGAGAAGGCCTAGGCCCTGAAAGAGCCCCCATGAACCGAGGGGAGTGGCCAGAGGGGAAATAAAAATAATCAAGAAGGGCTAGGTACATGTACCAGTGCCCCGAGAGTGCTGGAATCATTATGTACTGGAAACGTGCATTAAGAAAAATGAAAAAATTAAATTTTAACAGCCAAACTCGGTGGCACATGCCTGTATCCTCACACTCAGGAGACTGAGGCAAGATGATCTCTGTGAGTTCAAAGCCAGCCTTAACTACGTAGTGAGACACTGTCTCAAAACAAAACAATCAAAGGGCCTGGGATTTAGCTCAGTGATGCCACTGCCTACCTTGCAAGCACAAGGTCCCAGAATTGATTCCTGGTACAAAAAAAAAAAAAAAAAAAAAAAAAAAAAAAAAAAAACAACAAAAAAAAAAACCTCAAAACAAAACAACAACAAACCACCAGAAACAAACAAAACCCTCCCCAAAAGTCAAATAAACAAAAGTACTAATTTTATTGGTCTCAGACATGGATTTAACCCTAGAGTCTGGAAGGAACATGACAACATCTTTCCTGCATGGGGTTGAGAAATCCTGTGCCAGTGCCTCTGAGGACACTGCGATCTGCCTGTGTACAGGAAAAAGACTGAAGACTGAGGAGAGGACCTGCCTGAGACGCACTGACCAACTTGAGCTACAACCAGCCCTCACAACGAACTGAGTTCATAAGTCAAGGGTCCACTGTTACTTCCTTACTGGCAGGACACAATACCCAACACCCACAAGTTAAGGGAGAAAAGGATTATTTTGTTTTTTTTTTTTGTTTTGATTTTTTGAGACAGGGTCTCACTATGTAGTTGAGACTGACCTGGAACTCACTATGTAGCTCAGGCTGGTCTCAAACTCACAGCGATCTTCCTGACTCAGCCTCCCTAGTGCTGGGATCACAGGCGTGCGCCACCACGGTTCCATTCCACCTCAGATGGCTCCAAGGCAGGGCAGGAGTGGCAGTCTCTCCCTTCACCCTGTGGGCTGCAGCCCGATGGGTGGTGCTGCCTGAGCCAGGGTGAACCCATTCTTCACACCCAGGACCTGCAGACCCCTCAGTGGACTGACCTGCACCTCCCACTCATGGGCCAGCCCCTCCCAAAGGCCCACTAAGAGCAGCTATAAACGTAATGGGCTGTGCGGTGCCATGCTGCTGCCAAAATTCAAAGGTCTGGGTCCCTGCCTGTGCAGAGCCTGTACAGTGCCTTTCCCTCCTCCAGCAAACAGGAGTATTGCGAGGTGTGTCTAGATGATGGGGGAATCTGTGTTGTCTTGCTATGCAGCCAGGCTGGATCCTCCTGCCTCAGCCTCCCGACTGCTGGGATCACAGGTGTGTGCCACAGGCCCAGCTTGGGGACCATTTATGGGAACTGGCTGAACACTGTGGGATGCTGGGAGTGGAGTCCAGTCCAGGGTGAAGCCAGTGGGGGAACAGCTTGAGTCTGAGGGCCACATCCAGCCTCGGGGTGTCTAATCAACAAACGCCCTGCTGTCTGTCTTTCCTGTGTCCCTTCCATCCTTGGGAAACACCCCACCCACCCTGGCCCCCAGGAGCCCCTAACCAGTGCCCAGGTGACACCTGAAACGATAGCCTCAGCTGCTGCTGGAACCCAAGCTTTTGCTCAGTCTGCTCTGGGGTCAAAGCCAGCGTGTGACCTACCCAGGGCTAGAACTCAGACTTGGACCCTCAGGATCTCTCCCGGCAAGGAGAAACTGAGGCAGAAACAGGTGGTGTGCAGGAGAAGCCGGCCCTCCAACCTGGGGGGGTGGGCTGCAAGTTTCTCAGCCATGAAGGGGCAAAGGCATTCTAGAAAAAGTGCTCTGCTGGGAGGCTGAGGCGGGAGGATTCCAAGTTTTAACTCGGCCTGGGCAACCTAGCGACTTAGTGAGAACCTGTCGCAAAATTTGAAAAGTTAGGGCTGGAGATTTAACTCAGTAGTTCTGCTGCCCTCCTTGCAAGCGCAAGGACCCAAGTTCAATCCCTAGTACCAATCAAAACAAAAATTTAAAAAATTAACAGAAATAAGAGCTGGGTGCTAGGCATGGTGGTGCAGCTTGTCATCCCGCACACTGGGAGGCTGTGGCAGGAGGGATCACAAATTTGAACTCAGCCTGAGTAACTCAGTGATTTAGTGAGACCCTATCTCAAAATAAAATATAAAAAGGGTGGAAGATGTAACGCAGTGTGAAGGCCCTGGGTTCAACCCCCAGTCCCAGACACACACAAACAAAAAGAAAAGCAGCTTCTTGAAGAATAATCTGACATGGCTGTTCCAACTTTACTTTGCCTAACTTTGGTGTAATTACTAATCCATCTGCAGTGTTTTCATAGGGAAAATGGGGCAGTGACTGAACCAATCTCAGACACCGGGAGATATTTTTCCTTTTCCTTTTGGTGCCAGGCATTAGACCCCAGGGCCTCTGCCTCGCTCCACACGCACTGCAGCCCCCAGGGATTGGTTTCGGGTCTGATACTCGGCCCAGCGCTCACAGGCCACCTGGCACGGGAGTAAAAGGGAGACAGCTGCCTTCGGAGCAGAGAGGGACGCTGCGGTGCACGGCCCTGGGACAGGAGGGACAGGAAGAGGCCAAAGACACAGCGAGGCCCGCGACAAAGCCAGGAGAGCCTTGGCTGAGGTCCGTGGGAGCAGAACTAGCGGGTGTGTTTGAGGTTGATGCCGGGCATCACGGGAACAAGGGACAGGGCAGCTGAGTTTGGGACATGAGGGAAGGAACAGTCGGTGACGATCATTACAGATCATTTGGTCCTGAGACTTTGGAAACAGAGGCGGCGGAGCTCAGGTTTCCAGGTCGGGAAGCTGATCCGTCTCTGTCCCTTGTCACGTCACCAGCAGCTCAGATTTCCCGCCCAGGCAGCGAGCTCCTCCACAGGAGCCTGGCCTGTGGGGACAGAAAATCAGGCTTCTCCGTGCCTCCCAGCAGGGGCCCTGGCCGAGTCACCATGATTCATTTCTGTTTGGCTTACACAGCCTATCGCACACACCGTGGGCTGCCAGGATCGCACCAGGCCAGGCTGTAAGTGTCCCTTCCCAGCACGACAAAAAGGACTTTGCTTCTCCCTGTGACAGTCTTCAAGCTTAACTAAATTTACCTCTAACTCTTTTTTTTTCCAGTTCCAGGAATTAAACTCAGGTCCTTGTGCTTGAGAGGCAGGCGGCAGAACCACTGAGCTATATCCCCAGCCCCCTACTTCTAATTCTTAAATGGCAGATCTTTTCAAGTTTTAGAAACACTAAGATATAAACATGAATGTGACATTTTGTAAACACTAAGCCAGTTTTGTTTTGGTTTTAGTTTTTTGAGACAGCGTCTCGATTTGTAGCCCAGGCTGGTCTCAAACTCCCAGTGAGCCACCTGCCTCAGCCTCCCAAGTGCTGGGATCACAGGCGTGTGCTACCATGCCCGGCTCTTGGAGTCATTTTTCTGACCAGACAAATAACATAACATGTCACTCACTGTGTCCCATACAGCCAGGGGACCGTGTTTGTACTTGGGCTCGGTGCTGTGGGCCTCCAGGTCTTCGTGCTGCTGAGGTAAGTCCCTAGTCACACCCTGCGCGGCTTTTCACCTGTGTTGGCGTTTCGGGTGTCCCCTGGGAGGCCTGCTCTGTGGCCTGGCCCATTGTTCCCGTCACCCACAGTGTCACCTGCCCACCTCTTTGAAAGTCACCAGTCTCAGAGCAGGAAGGACAGCTGAGGCCGACTGGGTGTAGCTTTCAATCTAGCGTAAGCGGCAAGCGGCCATGGCACAGGAGGTAGATAGGGCTGCCATGTCTCCCTGTGTGGATTTCTCCAGAGACTCAGTCTAGCATTAGGTAAAGTCTTTGGGGCTGGCCATGACAGGCCACATGCAGCCAGGTAAGGACTTGACGAGCTACTGCACATTCTACCTTGGGTGCTGCTTTGTCACTGAGCACAGAAAGGGAGTACGACTTGATAACCTTAAAATAAATTTTAAAAATCTCAGTTTTCCACATGTGGAAAAGAAAAAAATTTTTTTGAGACAAGGTCTGTGCTATGCTATGTAGTTCAGGCTGGTTTTCAACTCACTTAGTAGCCCAAGCTGTCCTTGAAATCATGGCGATCCTCCTGCCTCAGCCTCCCAAGCACTGGAATAACTGTTACTACCATTACCAAAGTTCTAAAGAGAAGTGAGTTGCTCAGAGACAAGATAAGCCATTAGTGGTGGTGCATGGCTGTAATCCCAGCACTCAGGAGGCTGAGGCAGGAGGATCGCTGTGAGTTCGAGACCAGCCTGGGCCACATAGTGAGTTCCAGGTCAGTCTCAACTGCATAGTGAGGCCCTGTCTCAAATAAAAAAAAGAGAGAGAGAGAGACAAGATGAACCTAGTGCCAGAAGTAGAATTAGAATTCGCTGCCAGCACCTTCCAGCTGTGACTTATGTAGAGGGTTCCTGTAGTAACCAATAAATCAAGTCATCAGCCAGCATTTTGATTTTTAGGCCCCAGTCGTCTCGATACTGCAGCCAGCCTCTCCTGACCAACCTGGTGGGCAGCATTGTCCTGACCTTCTTTGCCATCGGTGAGTGTATTATTGTTACTCACGCACTCCTTTGGCTCCTACTGTTGCCTAGACACCGACAGAACAAAAACAGTTAGGGTAGGGCTTTCCACCGGTCACAAGATCTCACTGGACTTCCAAAGGAATTCACATTTAAATTACAGGTGTAGAAAAGTTTTTAAAACTTTGTTAACTCATGTAGTTGTCATACAATTTCAAAATGAACTCTAAAGTCGACGGTGGTGGCGCACACACCTGTAATCCCAGCAGGCTGAGGGAGGCTGAGGCAGGAGGATCAGTAGGAGTTTGAGGCCAGCCTGGATTACATAGGGAGACCCTGTCTCAAGTCCACTCTCAAAGAAGAGTATGTCTCTGAGATGACTGAACCAGCCATGCGATGCCCATCTCTGCCCTTACAGGTCTCACCGTACTGCTTACTCAGCTGGAGCCAGTGCCCGCGGCCCTGAAGGCGCTACTGTCCGTATTTGGTGTAGGGTCCTTCGGTGAAGGTGTCTGCACGGTGGTGTTAACAGTTTTGGCAACAGACTGTGTATGTTTTTCAATACTGACTTTCTGAAGGTTCATCTTAATCACCTGTAGAGGTTGGCTACAGGCAACACACCACTAGTCTTCCATATTTAGTTCCTATGCACACCAAAGACAGAGATGTGTAGAAGTGGAATTTCTAATTAGACACATGCCGCAGTGAAAAACATTTCCCTGGGAAAATTAAAAACATTCTACAAGCTGGGCATGGTGGCACACACCTGTAATCCCAGTGCTCAAGAGGCTGAGGCAGGAAGATCGCTGTAAGTTTGAGGCCAGCTTCGGCTACATAGTGAGTTCAAGGCCAGCCTGAACTACACAATGAGACCCTGTCTCAAAAAACAAAAAAAGGGTTGGGGATTTAACTCAGTGGTTCTGCTGCCTGCTTTGCAAGCGCAAGGTCCCAAGTTTGATCCCTGGTACCAAAAAACAAAACAAAACAAGAACAACACACATAGGCTGGGGTTGTAGCTCAGTGTTACCCCGCTTGCCTGGCAAGTGCAAGGTCCTGAGTTTGATTCCTGGTACCAAAATGAACAAACAAACAAAAACAACACACACACAAACACACGCACATTCTGTGAGGGGTTACGTGGGTAGCTCAGTGGCAAAGAATGTCCTTAGTGTGTGAAAGGCCCTGGGTTTTGTTCCCAGTACTGCCTACCATAACTTACTAAATTCTGCAAGAGCTTTTTTTTTTCCTCTTTTGTTTTTTCCCACCTTTGGCAAATACTAGGAATTGAACCAAAGGTCTTCACACTGAGCTACAGCCCGAGCCTATTATTATTTATTTTTTTGGGACAGTCTCATAAGTTGTTAAATTGCATAGGCTGGGCTAGAATTCTCCATCCTCCTGCCTCAGCCTCCCAGAATGCTAGGCACACATTCTATTACTGAGCTAAACTCCAAGCCCTAGAATTTAAAAACATTAAGATATTAATCAACTGTGGGGCCACTTCTTGTTAAATTGGCAACTCAAACCCTGGGATGAAAAACTTTTGTTTGTTTGCAGTGCTGGGGACGGAACCCAGGGCCACACCTGCTGGCCAGGTGCTTGACCACTGAGCCATACCTCCAGCACCTGAGAATATTTTTAATAAGTGTACTGATTAGGAGCCAGGCATGGTGGTGCACACTTGTGATCTTAACACTCTGGGAGGCTGAGGCAGGAGGATCCCAAATTCCCACCCACCCTGGGTAATTTAATGGCTTAGCCAGACCCTATCTCAAAATAAAAAAAAAAAAATTTAAAACAGATTGGGAATGTGCATGCAAAGGCCCTTAGGTTCAACACCTGCTCTGTAAGTCAATAAAGAATTTTAAAAATAAGCTTTCTGATTAAAAGAAAAGGCACTCCTTATAGTGTTTTTTCCTTCTCCAAACACAGGAAAAAACCACCCCGGAGCTTTACTACCTGTCTGTGCTGCTGTCCGTGGGCAGCCTGATGTCCACAGGTGAGCAAATACCCCCCAGTCTGCCTGAGCGCTCCCCCGCCCCGCTGCCCACCGAGCTTTCCACCCTGTAGGGCTCTGTACAGCAGTGGCTGAGAGCTAAGGGAAGGAGATACAGAGCAAGGGCAGCTGGGGTGGGGTGGAAAGAGCCATCCCTGTCCACGCCTGGCGCCATCTAAGCGGACCCCACTGTGTCCCGCAGCGCTGTTCTCAGGCCTGGGGCTTCTCTGGCTGTGCCGGGTGATGCGGCCCAGGCCAGGCGCTAAGCCAGCGGTCTGAAGCTGGCTCTGGATCCTGCTGTCATCTGCCTGTCTCCTGTCGGCAAGCAGGACACCAGCCTTTGGCCATCGCGAGCACACTCCCCAGGGAAGGGGCTCCTACTGATGCTTCCAGAGCCCGCTGTGACTCGGGGCCTCCTTTTCTGTCAGTGGAATCGGCTGGGGGACCGCCACAGCCATCAGTGCTGACGAGGTCAAACAGAAACCTCGGTAACCAGCAAAGGTTGTTTCAAAAGAACACGGTGACTCAGACCGCATATTTGAACAGGGCCAGTTTATGAACTTCTTTTTAAAAATGCATGAAATGTTGGGGTAAAAATAACCGCGGAGGCCCATTTATGGATCCTACCAAGCTTTTGTGTCACAATAGCCATTATGTGGAGAGAAAACAGCCACGGGCCACACCCTCCCTGGCCTCCCTTCCAGGCTGGGCCCGCAGACTCTGGGACCTCATGATGGAGCCTCAGGATCTTTAGGAACTGGAGGCAGCTCATTTCCTGATTAAAGAGCAGTATATACAGCTAGAGGGCCAGTGTAGTATAAACGTCCCCCAACACGTTTGGTGTTTGTCTGTTTTTGAGACAGGGTCTTGCTATAAACTCTCTATGTAGCCCAGGCTGGCCTCAAACTTGTGATGACCGTCCTGCCTCGGCCTCTCGAGTCTGAAATTGCAGGCCTGTGCCACCAAGCCTATCTAGGCACAGTAGTCTGGGGCAGGGGAAAGTGCTGGCCCTGCATCTCCTTCTCTGTTCAGGCGGTATCTGTGGGAGGAAGAGCGGTCTATCACAAACTCTCTGTTCACACCACTGACATGCTCTGAGTACCTTCCCCTCCCCAGTTAGGGCTAAACGGCAGGGGTTCAGACCCCAGTAATACACACCCGTCAGCAAATGTTCCTGAAACAACTCATTACCGTGATGAACAGAAACAATCTAAAAACAACACTGCGTTTATATGCTCTGGACCTCACTGACCAAATACTAAATCTCAGATAAGAGCCAGGTGTAGAGGCTGAGGCAGGAGGATCACAGTCAATTCAAGGCCAGCCTGGGCTACATGGTGACTTCAAGGCCAGCCTGAACTACTTAGGGAAGCCCTGTCTCCAAACACCAAAAAATATATTTCTTTTTTGGTGTTTGGAGACAGGGTCTCACTACGTAGTTGCACCTGACCCAGAACTCACTATGTAGCCCAGGCTGGTCTTAAACTCACAGCAATGCTCCTGCCTCAGCCTCCCGAGTGCTGGGATTACAGGCATGAGCTACCATGCCTGGCAGTACTTTTTTTTTTTTTAATTTAGAAAAATAAAATGTCAGAGAAATGTCATCTTATTTCAAGATAGTATTTTTACTGCAAGGTCCTTTTCTTCCCTAAACTCATCTTGCCGCTCCAAATCCTGATCTCCCTGAAGATCTCAGCTGATAACAAATCTGCCCTGCCAGTTGCTGAGGCTTAGGACCTGGACTCCCCCTTCGATGCCTTTCCTTGTTTTCCCCCCCATGCTGCATCAGGAAATCCTCTTGGTTCTGTCTTCAAATATATCCACAATACACTTGGGATCAACAACTCCAGAGAACATCTAAATGTAAGCAATGTATTACAGTAGGACACATTGTCATCAATCCCCTCAAAATCTTCCCCCCTTGCCTGCCTCACAGGCACGAGGTCCTGAGTTCCATCCCCCGGCACCCCCCAAAAAAACTTGCCCCTCCCTTCAAACCGACACCCACTGCTGTGCTTTCAGCAGCAATTCTGGGAGTGCGTGCTCCCCCCCCCCGTGAGGGTCTCTAAATTGCACAGTTGTGGCCACCCTGATGTCCTGAATCAATTCAAAACATTTACCCTCAATGTTTATTTTGATGCTGGGGAAGAGCTAGGTGTGACAGGTGCCAGGTCTGGTGACTGGGGTGGGTGAGGACACATCGTCCTGGTTTTAGGACTGTCTTTCTGTGGATGGCAGTCAGTATCAGCATTCACTGTACTTCTGATCACACCATGTAAAGATGTTCATGGAACAGGAAAAATAGTGCCACCTTTAACTGAGAAGAAAAAGATGTCCATGGGATAGGTTTAAGAGAGATCAGTTTATAATAAAAATGAAACCTGAGCTAGGCGTGGTAGCACATACTGCTAACCCTAGCACTCATTGAAGCTGGAAAAGGATCACAAATTTAACCCAAACCTGAGCAATTTAGTAATTTATCAAGCCTCTATCTTGAAATAAAAAATTTTTCCAGGCATGGTTCTGCATACCTGTAATTCCAGCACGAGGCAGGCTGAGGCAGGAGGATCACTACAAGTTTGAGGCCAGCCTGGGCTACACAGTGAGCTGAAGGCCAGCCTCAACTGCATAGTGAGACCTTGTATCAAAAAAGTAAAAAGAATAAAATATTTAAAAAGGGCTGAGAGGGCTGGGGATTTAGCTCAGTGGTGCCACTGCCTACCTTGCAAGCACAAGGTCCTGCGTCCAATCCCTGGTAGCAAAAAAGGGCGGGGGGAGTGTGAGAATGGAGCTCAGTGCGTAAGCCTTGGCTTCAGTTCCCAGTACTAAAAAGAAAACCAACAAAAATAAGAGTATGAAAGGAACCCAGGGTAGGAGGTGTGGTAAGAGGGCATAAGGACAAAGGCCACTCTTCTTCTTTTTTTTTTTTTGAGACAGGGTCTCACTATGTAGTTGAGACTGACCTGGAACTCACTATGTAGCCCAGGCTGGTAACTCACAGCGATCCTCCTGCCTCAGCCTCCCAAGCGCTGGGATTACAGGTGTGCGCCACCACGCCCAACTTAGGACTGCAAGTTTTAACCCTACCTGGAAAATTAAGGAGATCTTATCTTAAAAATCAAAATGAATGATTTGTTTTTGGTTCTGGGGATTGAATTTGGGACCTTGAGCTTTTGAGGCTGGCGTGGAACCACTGAGCTAAGTCCCTGGCATGAATGAATGATTTAAAAGGGGCAGGGAATATAGGTCAGTGCAAAGGCCTAGGTTCAATTCTCAGTGCACCGGCTCAAAAAAAGGTGGTGTGTTTGAGAAAAATATATGTCCATACAAACAGCAGTCTGACTTGGTACCTAATAACCAAAACCTGAAAACAACTGAGAGGTCAAGAGAATGAATGAGTGAGCCGTGTATCCATGAAACAGGGTACTACTGAACTAGCAAGAAAGAAAGTTACTACCAGGACAGATCTCACTGCCCCCCGTCCCCGTATTGGGGAACCAATCCAAGGCCATTCTACCACTGAGCTACATCTCAGCACTTTTTATTTCTTAATTTGAGACTAGGCCTCACTTAATTGCACAGGCTAGCCTCGCACTTGGCATCCTCCTGCCTCAGCCTCCCAAGGAGGGGATCACAAGTGTGCACCATCTCATCAGGGCCCACTTTAGCTCATGCGTTAAAGCCAAGCCCATCGTTACTGCTGTTCTTTCATTTCCCATCTGCAGTGAGCAGCGTCCCTGTGATACCCTGTGAGGCGTGGGCCTCAAACGCGTCTCCTATTTCCGCTCCCACTGACTTAGGCCAAGGCTCTCCTGGCTTTGTCACGGGCCTCCCTGTGTCTTTGGCCATTTCTGGTCCCTCCATCTCACCGTCGTCCTCAGCAGTGTCCCTCTCTGCTCCAACGGCAGCTGCCACTGCACAGCATAACAGGCAATGTTTAAGCACATTGCCAAGTGCCACCCTCAAAATTAGTCGTCAGGGGCAGGGGGCAGACGTTTAAAAGACTGCAGGGAAGGGCTGGGGGTTTAGCTCAGTGGTGCCGCCACCTGCCTCGCAAGGGCAAGGTCCTGAGTTTGATCCCTGGTACCATAAGAAAAGCCTGCAGGGCAGTACAGGTCAGTGGTCGAACACTCGCCCTGGGTTTGACCCCTGACACACAATCACAGGCACACAGGTTAAAAAGGAAATATATTTTCCAGTTTTGTTATTTTTCACTGTAAATTGCATTTTACCTAAAATATTGACACTGCAACACATATTTACACATCGAAAGTTAAAGATCATCACATTAAAGTAACCGGCATTTCCTTTCAATCAGAAGCGGTTTGCAAAGTAGGCTAAAAAGGTGGATTAGAAAAGGTTTCATGAGCCGGGCGCAGTGGGGAACACCTATAATCCCAGCACTTGGGAGGCTGAGGCAGGAGGATCGCTGTGAGTTTGAGACAAGTCTGGGCTACATAGTGAGGTCCGTCCGTCTCA